ATTCACACTGGATCTTCCTTTTCAGTGTTTGCAGTCTTAAAATGTTTTTGCTCCCACTTTAAGAAGGGTCACATAAGATCATCCATGAAAACACTGTTGCCAGGTTGCCAGGACTGATCAGAGGCGTCCCTCAACTTCTGTAACTCTTCAAGGCTAATTTCAGATCAAAAGCCACATGGTAATGAACAATCTCTTAGAAGGTCAAAGCAAAATGTAGTGGGATACACAATAAAAGGCACGAACTGATGGTAAAAAGCTGTTAACCGCATCCCCCCCTGAGAAAATCAGTCAAGAAGACCAGCCCAGGTGTGTGGAAAACTTTCTATGTTATGTAATATAATCAGCACATTATATAATATAATCATTATGTAGTAATAAGCACTACTTAATGAAAACATAGGAAAGGATTGGTCCTGAGCAACACAGACGCTGTCAGGGAAATCCAGGGAGTTCTTTGCAGGGCGGTGATACCAGTACAGCATGTGAATGCAAATTGAGTTTTTATCCAAGATTTGCTTCTGTGCTCAACTTGTAACTGTGCTCTAAGAAAGCCATCCTGGAAAATGAACTCTCAGAAATGGAAGTAGTTACATCACATCTTGTGTATTTTCTGTTTAAGTGGGACATAATCAGAGGGTGAGGGAGACAGACCCAGGGAGGGTGGGCTGGCAGCCGTCACAGGATTACATTGTCTAACCTGGTGTCACGCGGCGACACTGGTGGACATCTCCATCTGTGTTGTTTCTAGCTTTTGACAACTATGAATATAGCTGTTATGAACAATAATATATACATTTTTATTTCAATAAAAGTTTTTATTTCTCTTGGGTGAATACCCAGGATTGAGATTGCTGAATCATGGTATGTCTTATTTTTGTCGTTCAGTCACCAAGTCATGTGTGACTCTTTGTGACCCCATTGGACAGGTGGTTCTGTGCTAAAGAATCCGTGTGCCCATGCAGGAGATGGGGGTTTGATCCCTGGGTCTGGAAGATCCCCTGGAGAAGGAAATGGCAACCCACTCAAGTATTCTTGCCTGAGAAATCCCATGGATACAGGAGCCCCTTGGGCTACAGTCTATGGGGTTGCAAAAGAGTTGGACACGACTTAGTGACTAAACAACAATGGTAAAAGTGTACATAAAACTTCGTAATAAGACGTCAAACTGTTGCCCACCTTGAGCATGCCATTTGCTTTTCCAACAGCAGTGTATGAGGTTTCATTTGCTCTGCACCCCAGTTAGCACTTAATATTGTCACTTTTTTTAAAAAAAGCAATTCAGTAGGTTTCCAGTGGCATCTTATTTTGGCTTTAAATTGCATTTCTCTAATGGCTAATAATTTTGAGCATCTTTTATGTGCTTATTTACCCTCAGTGTATCTTGCTCGATGAAGTATCTGTTTCGATCTTTCTGCTCATTTAAAACACTTGAGTTGTTTCTCGTTATTGACTTCTGAGAGTTCTTTATACATTTTGAGCACCAAGTCCTTTGTCAGAAATGAGATTTGCAAATATTTTCTCCCAGAATATGGTTGTCTTACCTTTCTCTTAATAGCATCTATTACAGAGTAAAAGTTTTTGATCTTGATAAAGTCCAGTTGATTTATTTTTTTCTTTTATGGATCATGCTTTTGGTGTCAGATCTAAAAAAACTCTTTGATTAAGCCATACCTTGCTCTGTTGACCATCTCTTCTGGGATGGTAATATATTTCTCATCTAGAACGCTCACTCACTTCCTCTAAAGATCTTTCCTGACTGAAGTCTTTTCATAATTGTTTCTCTTATTTGCACTCTTATTTGCACTGTAGCGCTGCATATTCACCCTATAGCAGAGGGATTATTTCACTCTATTATAGTTGCGTTTATTTTTTGCTAATCTGTGCTAGGTGGTGAGTATCACAAGCGGAGGGACCTTGCCCTGTGCATCGTTGCCTCACTCCAGTAATTCACGCACCGTGGGTGGCACTCACTGAACAAATAAATGGAGTTGCTGGGCATTTTCAGGTTCCTATACCTTTGCACGTTGTTGTTATTGTTGTTGTTGTTGTTATTGTCAGACACTCAGCCTTGTCTGACTCTTGCGACCCTATGGACTGTAGCCCCCCAGGCTCCTTTGTCCACGGGATTTTCCAGACAAGAGTACTGGAGTGGGTTGCCATTTCCTTCTCTGGGGATCCTCTTGACCCAGGGATCGAATCTGTGTCTCCTGCATTGGCAGGTGGATGCTTTATTGCTGAGAAGCCTGGGAAGCTTGGGAAGCCTGGGAAGCCTGCCTTTGCACATCCTCTTCCTAATTACTTACGATACTCTATTTCCCTTTCCCTGACTGGTTGGCCCCTCCCTATCTCTCAGGCCTTGCAGACCCTTCCCCATTTGCTCCAGGCTGCAGGACTCATGTCTTCCAATGATCTTAGGGCACTTGGAACATGCTTGCTGTTTCTGTGGTGCTGCAGATGGCTGAGGTCTTTCCACCATTGGAAGACAAAGAGTTGCCTGTACTCGTCACTTAACCCTCAGAGCCTAATATCCCTACCCAGGACTTAGTAGTACTAAATAAATGTTTATTGAATGAATTCTGATGTATATTTGTCTTTTTCTAATCTATTTTTGACATTAAAACACCTAGGCATTAACATAATTTAGAGAAACATTGTGGGCAGACCATGCCAACATGCATGAGCCCCATCATTTTTGTGGACAGTTTTTGCTATAACAAAGTTTTATATCATCCGTAGGACATATTTTATAATTCTTTTAGGTTATGAATATGGATCATTATAGACAAATTTGAAAATATAGTACAAAATTTGTGTTCGAAAAAATTCATATCATCTTTATTGCTACCACCCAGGCAAGGTGTCTGTATAACATCTTGCTGTATTTTTCTTCTGGGAGAAAAAAAAGTGTCTATATTTGTGAGCCTTTATTTCTATTATTTTATATATCAGTTTTATCAATTATGCTCATTGACTCTGATCACACAAATATGCACCTGGAATGCTGTGTATTTTTAAAATTGAATCTTGTACTCCAAACATTTCTGGTATCATTAAGAATTGGATTTGACTTTGAGTGTACCAGAATATTTTCAAGGTTTTTACATGTCCTATGTAGGGTGATGCTGTCCTACCCACTGCATTAACGTGAAACCTGATCCTGTTAATGACGTGCCCTTCAACTCCTGAAAATGAATTCATTATGACAAAAGCCAGCTGTACTTCAAATCTCATCAGGTGACAGAAAACACAATAAAAAGGTTCTGAAGCTAGTCTCTACTTGACATTAAATCCACAAAAGGAAAGGCAGTGAGAATGATTTGCCATCATTCCTGAATGATGAAGTAAGGGAGAGGACTCTCAGATAACATGGGCTTTGAGGGCCCTGTATTATAAGGTGGAATTCACTTTGAGAGAAACTGCAACTGTCATTAGACATCAGTGAGAAATGCCGAGACTTGTTCTGAGCAATTGGTTGGTGGAGAGAGATGAGAGAGTGGAGACCCTAAAACAGCTATGGCAAGGGTAGTTGTTCTTGTTTTTTAAATCTGAAACTTGTTTTTTTTTTTTAATGTCAAACTTAGCAAGCTTAATAAAGAGGCTTTTTGCTGGAAAAGATGGCATATAATTCCTTGGCATTGTTTTTTTTTTTTTAACCACCTGTGGATGCTCATTTTACCTTTTAAAGCAAATCTGATGAAACTACACACACAGCCTTCAGAAGCTGGGTTTTGACTGTAGTGGTGTCCAAAGGGACGTACATCTGTCTCTTAGCATCTGTTTCTTCATCTGTAAAATGCAAACAATAATACCTTCTAAGGTTGTTTTGAGGTTTAAATGAGTTGGTCTATGTAAAATGCCTAGCATGGGGCCTGGTACCTTGAAGCTTGAAAAAATAGTGATTTTTCAGCTCTGCTTCCACCTTCTGCCTTTCATTTCTGTTTCAGTAAAAATTTATGCATTTACTACTTGTCATGCCCTGAGGATAAAATTGATATGGCTTCCCTGTATTCAAAAATCTAAAGAAGACAGGGTTGTGGCTTTCAAAGAACTTACAACCTGGGGTGATAAGGAGTAGATGTTTAAACATCAAACTATACTATAAGGCAGAATAAAATAAATGCTAAATAGAGGTGTAAATAATGTGCTGGTTGTGGTGACCTGGGGAACTTACAGAGGAGAGGATTATGATATAGGCCTTGAAGGATACATGGATTTTCATAGCTGAACACAGCAGGAAAAGATAATTCTGATTGTGAAACTGCATGATATGTTTGAGTAGTGAACTGTCTGCTTTTTGGCTTGAGCATGAGTGAGGGGCATGTTGTATAGAGGTCAGGCTGGAATGATAGTGTGGTGGCTGATCTCTGATGCGAACAGCTTCACTTCACGGCTGAAGAACTTGTATGAAACGTAAGACAAAAAAGCAAAAAAATTGAAGCAACAAAAAAACACTTGAGCTATCTCATGTGTATAATCAGTACTAAGAACTGCAAGAAAGATACCAAATGGTGGTAGGATGCTTGCTAATAAGCATTGGGGATCCCATCTGATGCGACTTATTATAATAAGACTGGTATTGTCCTTGCTTGCCATATAAACTCCCCTAGCCAGAGAACATATGATATACTTGATGATTAAAGGATTTATGAAGGAGCAATGTAAAGAAATAAGAGTTGTTAGTATGGAATTAGACATGATATCTCTTAGAGCAAGGAGGGTCTCTAAGCAAACACTGCTACCAACCTCTTTTCCTTTGGAAATAGGAATCAGAGTCCATAGAGGTAATTTACCTTCAAATTTAAGGAGTTCTGTTTACATCATTCTGAAGATCTGTCCTAAAGTATGTAATTGTTGTTTAGGGGTTGAAATAGATTTAGCTGAATGTTGTGTTTGTAAATAATAGAAATTAACAAGTGAGCTTGGATGTCATGGATTAAAAATCAGACATCAATATGGCTATTGTAAGAGATGTTCATATATATTGTTATTTCTGCTTCTAGGGACTTAATACCTATCATTGCTGCTCTGGAATACAATCAGTGGTTCACTAAGCTGTCCTCCAAGGATCTAAAATTGGTAAGTAATTGAAGATGCTGCTTAGCTTTGCTGAATTTAAAAAACCTGAAAATTATAAAAAACAAAAAACAGATACATATTTGTTTTTCAACCATACTGGTGAGCTGAATACATGTTATTTCTTAGGGAGATATTTTCTTATAAATGATCTGCAGAACATTTTACAAAGTTTGTAATGGGAGATGCTTCAGAAAAGTACTTCCTCATGTTTTCAGCTGCTTCAGGCAATTTTAGATGATGAACAGAAAGGCACATTTAGTGGAGCCTTCCGTATACCCTCATCCCACTGGCAAAAACTATTAAAGCTACATTTGCACAGCTGCAAATAGCAGATTTTATGTTCCTATCTTGCATTCCATCTCCACAAAGCTTCCCTTCCTGAGAATTTAGGAAAACATTACCAAGGTGGAGTTGGTCTGGAGTTATGATAGATAACATTAATTTTCTAGATGAGGTTTTGGACAGATTTATATGTAAGCAAAATGAAATCAAAGTGAAATCTGTTAGTTTTTATAAGACATGGGGAGCCAAAGTTTTGGTCTGTTTTATTAGTAGAAATAAGATGCTCTATTGGTTTGCCTTTTTTTTTTTTTTTTTTGGTCCCCACAATTTCAAAGCAGCTATTTGGACAGAAGCTTATCCATGAGTTAGATTTCTGCTGCTTCATTTGAGCACGAGAGATAATTTAGATGTTTTAATGGAGACTCTTACATTCAAGTCTCCAACTTTCAGAGGTCATAGAAACTGGGAATTTAAGATTTTCTGAGTGATGGACATCTAGGTTGGTTCCCATGTTCTGTCTGTTGTAAATAGTGCTGCAATGAACATTAGGGTACATGTATCTTTTTGAATTATGGTTTTCTCAGGGTGGCATATGCCCAGTAGTGGGATTGCTGGGTCAGATGGCAGTTTTATTCCTAGTTTTTAAAGGAGTCTCTGTACTGTTCTCCATAGTGACTGTGTCAGTTTATATTCCCACCAACAGTGCAAGAGGGTTCCCCTTTCTCCATGTCCTCTCTAGCATTTATTGTTTGTAGATTTTTTGATGATGGTCATTGTGACTGGGGTGAGGTGATAGCTCACTGTAGTTTTGAAGGAATGGAGATGGAGACATAAAGGTTTTGTAGATATAGTGGGGGTGTGTGGAAAGAGAGGATGGGATGATTTGAGAAAGTAGCATTGACATATATGCATTACCATGTGTAAAATAGCTAGCTAGTGTGAAGCTGCCTTATAACACAGGGAACTCGGCCTGGGGCTCTGTGATGACCTAGGGGAGTGGGCTGGGGAGTGGTGGTGGTGGGTGGGAGTCTCAGGAGAGAGGGGAGATGTTTATGGTTATGACTGATTTGTATTGTTGTATGGCAGAGACCAACACAACACTGCAAAGCAATTATCTTCCAATTAAAAAATTTGAAAAAAATTTAAAAAATTTCCAAGTGAAGAGATAGGATTTGGACTGGATGTGTTGAAAGTGAAAGGTTGAGATTTGCTGGTGGCCAGGCTCAGCAGGCTGGCCTGGGGTGTGAGTGGCTTAAGGCCTTATAGGTATAAACTTGGGTGGAACTCATTTGGGGATTCCTAAGAGCCAATGTGGTTGACAGTAAGAATGTGGGCTTAGAAACAGAAATCTGGGTTTCAGATTCAGACTCTTACTACAGGGCTGTGTGACCTTAGATACATTACTTGATCTTCCAGGGCGTCTCTTTCCTATATCCCTGTTACTGTGAGCTAATTGGAACTCATGTCTTATTTATCTCCATTCAGTGCTTATCAAAGTACGTGGCTCATAGTAGCTACTCAGTAAAAGCTGGTTTAATCAACAGATGTCAAATGACTTTTGTTGAATGAATGAATGGGCACAGCAATGTAACTCATTTGCAGGTTATTGAGATGAGTAAATTATATATGTAAATATATATATAATTATAAATTTTATAACTATATATAAATTATTATAAATTATATATATATATATATATGTAAATATATATATAATTATAAATTTTATAACTATATATAAATTATTATAAATTATATATATATATATATATATAGGTGGTGCTCAGTTGTGTCTGACTCTGTGACCCCATGGACTGTAGCTGGCCAGGTTTCTCTGTCCATGGGATTTTCCAGGCAAGAGTACTAGAGTGGGTTGCCATTTCCTCCTCCAGGGAAGCTTCCTGGGAATGAACCTGTATTTCTTGCTTTTGCATTGGCAGGCAGATTCTTTACCTCTGTGCCACCTGGGAAGCCCAAATAATTTATATGGAAGTTCTAACACAATGTCTGACCTACTATAGGCATTTCACAACTGTCAGCTCTTATTGTCATCCTCACAATCAGCTTAGCAAAGAGGCTGAGAAGTGAACAAATGGGGGAGCATGAATTATGGAAACTGTATCAGCTAAACGGGGGAGTGTCTGAGATCAGTGATGATGGAAGTACGGATGGTGACCCCCAGGGAGTGAGTGAGCAGACAGCCTTGATGGGAGACCTGGGAACAGAAGCCTCTCATTTGCTGTTTGCAGGAATGGGGACCGTTTGCAGGGCTGAGCCAACCGAGATTGCAGGGGTGTGAGGGGAGCCATTAGAGGAATGAGAAGTAGATTAGCCCAGGGAGTGTGGGATCAGAGAGAACAATGCTTTGCTACCAAGTCAGTTTTCCTGGCTTATTCAGACATTCACCTAAGCCCGTGATTTTCAAAATGGGGCACAAGAGAGCTCTGAGGAAGTTGGACATCCCTCTTTTGGAAGTTATCTTGAATCACTAGTATCAGGCCACTGGAGCTGCTGTTCCATCATTACTGCTCCCAGGAGCATCTCTTTTTTAAATGCCCTAGGTATTTAGGAAAGAAAACACGCACGTAGTTATTTCGGTCTTGGCCAGACAAAGCATGCAAGTGCTCGTGTGCCTTTTTGGATGGCCTGGGATGGTGGGAAGTGGAGACGCAGGATTTCTCTGCTTTTCTACTAACAGATTTAAACACAAAAATGAAAATGTGTATATTTTTAATGCTTAGTATTTAAAAATGAGAAATGCTCTTTGGGATATCTCTCTGCAAGTTTTCAAAGAGATGAGCAGTTTTTCCATGTTAGTTACCCAAAGTTAAAAAGAAATGATACTTTGCCTTTGATGGCTACTGGGATATGCAATCTCACAACATTTTCTAATACTTGGTTTATTTGAGGCACAGGAAAGCTTTACACCTTCAGGTTTTTTAAAACACAAAGTGTAAAAAGAAGGGACTTTTCAGTAATATGAATTCTCTGGGTTGTTAAAATTGCTTCTCACACAACAGAAGTCTCCTGTGCTTACAGTCCCACAGGAAAAATGTGACTTATATGCTTTATTCTGATGTTATGAAGTCTGTTAGAAGTCACTATTCCAAATTTATGTAGAGGGATAGAGGGTTTTTTTGTTTCTTTGTTTTTGAAGAGATGCCAAATACACAATTAGGCCCAAGATTCTGGACTCATAAAATAGCAGTAGAATTGGGATTTTGCTCAACTCTATGTTTTATCATTTAGGCAAGTCGGTGAGCATCATTAGGTCTTTTAAAATCTTTTAAAAATTATGTGCTTGGACCAGATACAGTATGTGGTTCCTCTCAGTTTCAAACTTCCATGTTTGTTTTATTTTGGACTAGTTCATTTGTTATTTTATAGTGATTTCTCTAGTTTTCATGCTATACATTTGATTTTAAAATAAATACAAGCTCTTAGAGAGTTATCATATTAATTTGTTAAAAAAAATAACTTTTCCTTAAGTCTGTAAACAAAGTGTTGAACATGCAATAAGACAGTTGGGGAAGACTATTAATGGTAACATTTTCTTGGTGTCCAAGTTTGTGTGTGTATCTCTTTAAAATATCCATCCATGTATATTCTTTGGTGTAGCAAATAACACTTTTCATGTAGTTGGCATTTAATAAAAGGTAGCAAAATTAATGTAATCGTGAAGGACATGTCACACCTCTCCCCTACTGGCATGTTAAGGAAAAGTTGGATACACTTTTTCTACATTTTCTTTAATAAATTTTAATTACAGTAATAATTTCCAATGAGTACATGAAAGCCTTGCTTCACAACTCAGCTTTGGTAAATTACTTTTCTGGATGTGCTGAGGTAGCCCTAGAAAGGTGGTGATGATACTATGGATTATTTCTGGAAATTAGAATAATCTTCACAAAAACATGTCTGAGTTATTACTTTTTATCACAATACAGAATAAGATGAGTTCCTCTAGTTGTATACTGTAAGGTGAAGAATGGTACTAAAAAGGGGCCACCATTTTGAAAATCACCACCATCAGCTTAATATAAATTGCAGGCGTTGGGTCACTTGGAATTAATTTTCCTCTCCCCTCATCGATCTGTGGGTCACATTAGAAACCCAGGAGTAGTATGAAGGCAACATTATAAACCCAAAGGAATCAAGCAGGACATGAGAATTGTAAAAGCTTTAAATTCTGTGCCACTTGGTGGTTTTCCAAGTCAGTTTTCTAAAGGCTACTTGACTGGAGAATTTGTGCTACATTTTATACTTTTCCAATAATGGTTAATCCAGTTGGATATTTATGATCTGATAAAGAGCTATAATATTTTATGTAGTATTTTAAGATAAGAAACTGCTCTACTGTATGCTATACCACACAAAATGATTTCTCTCTTTTTTAATAACAAAAGATTTAAAGAGACCTTAAGTTATGATGGCATTTAAAAATCACTTTTCAATGTCTGAATAATTTTAAGGTCAGGAGCTACCTTAAGTTAGTTTTGGAATAAGGCAGGATATAAATAAATATAAAGCATTAATAAGTAAAAATTTAAAAGAAAAAATTATGCACAGTTCTACCAGGGCACAACTCTTCATTTTTCATAGTCCCCTCAAGACTTTTCGGTTGCATATATTAGCCATTTCAATTGTTGTAATCTTTATTAAACACTTTCTTTTAATTATGCATTTTCATTTAACATTATATCCTAAGCATTTAAAATATTTTGCAAGATGTGAGTTTATGACTACATAATTTTTTAAAACATGAGGTTTATTAGCATGAGATGATTAATTATTAAAGTCTTTCTTATGCCTTACTGTAGTTTAGAGATTACTAGTAGCAACATTGTAATACCTAATGTTTACCAAGTGGTTATTCAGCCTCTCTTTAAAGTACATGATATCTTTAAATGTTATCTATAAAAAGAGAATAATAATACTTAATTAACAGCTTTATAATGAAACACACATAGAGGGCTTAGCTCAGGGCCTGGCACATGACAAGAACTCAGGAAGGAGAGTTTCATCATCAGCCTCATCACCATCGTCACTACCGCTCAGTCTTTGGTTCTTTATTTTGGGTATCACTTTCTTGGGGATTTCTTTTGGTTTTCCCAGGATTGCATGAAATCTGTGTGCCTGTACCACTACTGAAGTGTCTATTTTCCTGTCATAATTGTGTATTTCCTTCTTGTCTGATTGCCTTCTGGGTGGTATCACTCTTGAAGTCAGGGACTTTGTCCTTTATGTCGTTGTGTTCCCGGACTCTTCATCAGCAGGATGTGTAGGAGTAGTTGTCAGCTCATGGGTTGTTGATTGAATGAATGATTTATTTAAAGCTTTGTAGCTGCAAGGATTTATAATGCTGAAGTGAGGTCGTATTTTGACTTACGAAATGGTCAAAGAGTATTTTCTGTTACAGTCCACTGATGTCTGTGAACAGATCTTGAGGGTGGTGAGCCGGTCCAATCGACTGGAAGAATTGGTGTTGGAAAATGCTGGACTTAGAACGTGAGTATTTTCCTGAATATATGAATGTGTTGCTTTAAAACATTTTGCTCTTTCTTCTAAAATTAATATATGGTTTTGAGAGAAAAGTTAATGCTATCACCTGTATAGTGTTTTCTCGTCTTAAAAAAGAAGTCCTTGTGATCCCCATCATTATTACAAAGGTCAAGGATTTTATCATCTTTTTTGGTATGTCACATGGTATCTTTGAGGGTAAATAAGGATAATGCGTAAGAGCATGGACTCTTGGGTTAGATGTCTCATGTCTTTGGGCAAGTTGGTTCAGTTCTCTGTATCTCAGTCATCTTCATTTTGGTGATAAAAGTGCTTACTTTATAGAATTATGGTTGTAAAGATAATGAATTAATACATGGAAAGTGTTTAGAAAAATTTCAAAATCTTTTTATTAGAGATGCTATGCATTAGCTTTTACTAGTGCCATTAATCATAAATCATAGTCATAGTAATGGCACATTTCACAGGATGTTATTATTTGGCTTTGGTCTGTTTCAGCCGTTTCTCTCCCTTTTCAAATTCACACTTAAATAATCTTCATCTAATGTGGTTCAGTAACAATAGCCAAGCCTTACTAGGGGCATGAGACTTTGAACCCGCCGGAGTAAAGACATCACTACTGCTAAGTGAGGAGGCTTGGCAGTTTCATAGTCATAGCACTTAACACATTATTTTAAGTTAAACACACCTAAAATAGTGCTTTTGACTATGAGGTGGTTGGATGGCATCACCGACTTGTTGGACATGAGTTTGAGCAAGCTCTGGGAATTGGTGATGGACAGGGAAGCCTGACATGCTGCAGTCCATGGAGTCACAAAAAGTTGGACATGACTGAACAACTGAACTGAACTGAAAATATAGTGCTAGCAACTATAGCCTTCAAATTCAACAATTGGGGCAGTCAGTTCTGCCTTTATGAGTATTGCATGAAATTAAAACTGATATAGGGAATAGACTATTGCAATTTTCATTAAAAGCAATTCAATTCAGGATTTGTTTTTTAAGTCATAGAAGGGCCAAAAGTACTATTAATAGTATCCTTCAGTGTTTCTTTAAAGGAACAATTATACATTTTTCTTTGGAATGAGGTTTGGACTGATCAAGATGAACCATATTCTAGCTATGACTTTACAGATTCTCTAATGAGGATATGTACTTGTGAAAATAGATTGATTCTTAACAAATAAGATATATAGATTAATGTTGTAAAGGTAGGTTGGTTCTTAACAAATATGATATATAGGTTAATACTGTAAAGGCTTCTCTCTGTTTTTAAATTTCACTCTAGCTATTCTAACATTAAATTTTCTAATTGAGTCATTTTACACATTGTGTCTTACTGTTCTGTTTACTTGCAGAGATTTTGCACAAAAACTGGCCAGTGCACTAGCGCATAATCCCACTTCAGGGCTGCACACGATTAACCTTGCTGGCAACCCACTGGAGGATCGAGGTACTGTAGCATTTACATGACCGTTGATGCCAGAACTGTAAGAGGATTAGGGAGTTTTCATTTAGCCATGCCTGAAGAATAGTGTCAGTCTTAGTTGTAATTATATTATAAATGCTCTTGTTGGCTTAAATATTTTCCAGCCTCTGGTGAACATACTCATGCTCCTGTATGATCTTACAGAAAAACCCAAACAAGGTTTTTGGCCGACCCAATATGATTTCTATCAGCTGATGAACAGTTTTTGAAGTGATCCAAGTGGAAAGGAGAATATTATTTTTAAATGATTGTATTGACTTTTTCTTGCTGTGTGGCAAATTATCACAAACATGGCAATTTAAGTTTACCTAGATTTATTATCACACAGTGTCTTTGGGTCAGTCTGGGTACAGGTTCACTGGGTTCTCTTCTCAGTATCATGAGACTGAAGTCAAGTCAGCTGGGGTTTATGTGATCTGGGGTCTTCTCAGGCTCACCGGTTGTTGGCAGAATTAAATTCCTGAGGCTGTAGGACTAGGTCACCATTTTATTGCTCCTTGCCCATCAGGGAGCACTTCCCATGCCTGAAGGCTGTGCTCAGTCCTCACCACGTGGTCCCCTCCTCCCCCAACTTTACCGTCTGCCTCGCATTCCAGGCCAGCAGAAGCACAACTCTCTGATGCTTCACTTTCTTGTAGACAGGTCACCTGTTTGAGTCAGACTCCTCCAAGACAGTCTCCCTCTTGATTAATTCAGAGTGGACTGATTAGTATCCTAATCACATTGTGATATCCCATCATATTCCTTTTTTTCCCAGTTACTTATTTTGTAATGGGGTATAGTTAACAGTGTTAGCAATTAACAGTTAATAATGTTGTGATAATTTCAGGTGAATAGCAAAGGGACTTAGCTATACATATGCATGTATCCAGTCTCCCTCAAACTCCCATCCCATCCAGCCTGCCACATAACATTAAGCAGAATTCCCTGTGCTATATAGTAAGTCCTTGTTGGTTATCCATTTTAAGTATAACAGTGTGTACATGTCCATCCCAAACTCCCTAACTGTCCCTTCCCTCTATCTTTCCCCCGGCAGCCGTAATTCATTTTCTATGTCTGAGTCTCTTTCAGTTTTTTAAGTTCACTTGTATCATTTCTATTTAGATTTGTGATGATCCATCATGTTCTTTGGTCCACCCCACATACTTAAAGAAATTGTATAGGGTGTGTTTACCAGGGACAGAAATCTTGAGGACCAGCTTACAATTCTGACTATCACAGATGTCTTTTAATTTTTAACGAGATTTGAATGTAAGAATAGAGAGGAGTTGAAGGACTAGATTTCATGAGGAGGCAAAAGAAGGTTTCATTAGAAGATGTTTGCGTGACTAGAGGGAAGAGTCAGTAGCTTTAGAAAGTGAAGCCTGAGGGTTTGAATTCTCAGTAGGAGAACCCTGATGGATGAGATTAAGGAGGAGTAGCTTTATCTCTAGAGGGGATATTTTGTTTTCATTGTGTATTACAGATGTTTTCCAGTGTTGTTGACTAAGGGCCTTTCATCTTGGGATGTTATATATTTGATGAGGGTTAATTATTAAACTGAGCTGAAGATCCTGGTGAAGACACCCAGTTCTGCATTTTTATTCCTGATACTGACATTGTTCTTCATTGAGAAAGATACCCATGTGGCATCCAAGGAAACATTTGAAGAGGAACTTCTAGCATCTGAAATAATGAATCTAAAGGAAGGTTGAGACTAAATTGAAAAACTAGATCACATGAAAGGCACTCTTATAGGTGTAAAAGGCAAAGCTGAAAATAATGGAAACACAACTCTGAAATAGGAGTTTCTCTGGGGTTTTAGTATTTTCTTTAGGAAAAATAAGTGTTCTCTCTACTAGTCAAATGCTACGAAGAGGTGACTATAACCACGTAGATCACCTTTTATATGTAGGAGGGCTGTTTTGCTTTTGTTTTTAAGATGGAAGGAACTCAAACATGTTTGTCTACTGACTGGACAGAAACAATGGTTATTAAGTGCTGGTCGCTAGGGATGTGAAACCCAGAGTGTAGTAAGGGACATTCCTTGGTGATCAGGAAAGCGCAAATTCAAACCATACTGAGATACCACCTCACAACCAGTAGTTTAGTTTTCATCAAAGTAAGTGTTGGAAAAGATGTGGAAAACAGGAACTTATGCGTTACTGGCGCGAGAGTACAATGGGGCAGCCTGTTAGGGTGCTGGTTAGCCAGTTGCTTCAAAAGTCAAACGCAAATTTACTCTATGACCCAGCAATTTCACTCTTAGGTGGACCCCAAGAGAGATGAAATGAATGTCTGCTCAAACACTAGTGAATGAGTGTTAATAGAAATTCATGCTTGCTCCAAAGTGGAAACCCAAGTGCTTATCCCTGGTGGGGGGATAAACAGAATGTGGTGTATCTGTACTGTGGAACCCTGCTCCACAGCACAAGAGAACAGGGCACTGGTCCTGCTGTGACACGGGTGAACCCCAAAAATATATTTAGGGAAAGCAACGAGACCCCAAAGATCTTTCATATTATTTGGGCTTAGGAGGCTGAAAGTGAAGTCACTCGGTCATGTCTGACTCTTTGTGACCCCATGGACTGTAGCCTACCAGGCCTCTCCATCCATGGGATTTTCCAGGCAACAGTACTAGAGTGGGTTGCCATTTCCTTCTCCAGGGGATCTTCCCGACCCAGGGGTTGAACCCGGGTCTCCTGCTTTGTAGGCAGATGCTTTTAGGGGAAGATTGAGCCTGGAGCTCTTCATCTTTCCTGTGGTGTGCCTCCTATGCCCTGAGGCGCAGCCCTCCTGGACAGCCTTATCTGTTGACTCCCTCACCTTGGGTTTGAACTCCTGAGATAGCAGTTCCTTCATTCTGTTGCACTGGAATTAGATATGGATGTCTCTGTACCAGCCTTACTTCTCATCCCTCCTCCTTGTCCATCATTCTCTCTTCATCTACCTAGCCCAAGACCTTATATGCAATCAATAAATATTTTCTTTAAATTGAATTTCATTTCACAATAGAATTCCTTTTTTTTTGTGGCTTTTAAATTGGAATTGAAAACCATGGTGAAGTTTATCAAGATTCCTTTGTGCGGAGTTAGAACCAGTGTGGAGAGATGACGTGTCTCTGCATTTTCCTCCCATTTCCCTACCTGTACAAGTTCACGATCCTTGTACATCGCTCACCTATCTGCATTCCCAGGTGTGAGAACCAAGAATCATTCCAAGGATGTTTGCCAGAGCTTCATGCGTAGATGCCGACCCTCCAGGGTGTTTTCTGCTCACTTACACTCAAGCCTTGACACTTCTGGAAATATTTTCTCAAGCTAAGGCTTTCTATGTTTCTGCCCTTTCTAGATTCCTTCGTTGCTATGTTTGGCCGGAGCTCTTGGAAAACTGCCAGCACCTGTATTCCCCACCTTTTTTTCATTCTTTGGACTGAGCCTCTGGAACACACATTCTTTACAGGCTTTTTTTTTTTCTTCCATCCAGGCTAAAGATGATTGGTAGCTTTTCTGCTCCTGGATGGGAAGTCTACAAGAAATCCAACTGAGTGTAAAATATTTATAGAGATTTCAAAATAGGGGAAAATGGTCATGACTTTTGTTTCTGAGCTTTCCACTGAAAAACAATAAAAAAAGCGTGGGGGGAGGAGTGTACAGTTGAATTGTTTAGTCTGTAAAAGAGGCCAAGCCCGGGAAGATTATTTACAAGGACATGCAAAGAAACACAAGGCACTTTGGCAGCCCAGAATGCTGAGGAATTTAAGTACCAAGTAGAATTTGATTTTTGCACCTGAACCATCCTCTCAGGGCCTTATTTGGAAACTCTCAAAGCGGAAGCTTGGCTCCTTGCATTGTGATATGAATGTTGATGCAGCAAAGCCCTGATATTTACAGCTCAGCCTCCCTGTCAGGCTCGTGCGCAGAGGACAGGCAGCCTTGTGTTGTTAAGCGGCTGGTGGTGGAGGGGGGTGAAGTATGATTTAGTGGGAGGGGGGTCATGTGTACTGGCGGTGCTTCCAATGCTGGATGCCCTGCTCGCGCTCTGCAGGAGCCCCAACAAGGCAGTGAATGGACCACACGCATTCACGAGCCCTTCTTATCCCAGTTTCAGGGCCAGCCAGTTCCCCAGCTTGCTCTTGGCCTCCTAGTCTTGTGTGTTTTCAGACTGTAGGTCAAGACCTGGTAAGCATTTTAATAAAAAGAAGAAATAGAACACAATAGAAAATAATCAGAGTGCATTGTTCAGGAAAACTGGGGTTTTAGTTTTCGCTTATATGTCTATGTGCTTATTTTGGTATGAGCTTCCTGCACCACAAAGTCAAATCTCTCTCTGTGTGTGGGTCATCGTAGAAAAGGCTTGAAACTCCCTGGGCTTACTGCACTGTATTAACTAGTTCTGTGTTGAGTCCTCTGGGTTGACCTAGTGTCTGAACCAGGGTGATCCGGTCATCGCCTCCTGACTAATGCTTTGGATCTGATGACTTTTTGGATTAAAGTGGAGTGTTCTGGGAAAAGCTCTCCTCTCTCCACTCGTTTCACACACTTTCCTTCCCTAAATGTCACAATCTCCGTGTCCCAGTCTCCCTGGTTACCGTTCCCAGTTACCCTCAATTTTATGATCTTAGCCTCGTCAGGAATGTCTGTCCTGATTTCCTCCCCTCACTTTATTCTAAATCGGATTATTTTGTTTAAAGATGATTTAGAATCCTGTCTTGAAATGTTTTTCTTTCGGAAATGTTGCCTTGACGCACCCAAGTTTTGTTTTCTGCTGACCATCTGGTGGTGGCTCTGATTTGGTCTGAATAAGACAAGACAAATGGATTCTAGAAATGTTGCTTACATTTGAGGACGGGGTAGATCCTTCATATCTCAGTGTATACCAGTGGGTTTTAGAGTCAGAATACATGGGTTCAAATCTGAACTTCTCCACTTTGCCTCTGAGTTTCCTTGGACAAATTACCTAACTTCTCTCTACCTCAGACTTCT